GCAACTTCTGCAAGGGGCCAGCAGCTTAGGTGGGAAGACTCGGAACATGGTCTTCCCCAGCCATACACACAGAGCATATGGTCTCTCTGTCACTTCTCAGCTCCAGCGTGGCCTAGCATTAAAAATAGAACCCCCTTTCACAGGGTTATTATGAGTACTAATTTTTAAAGTGCATGTGTAATCAGCATGTTAACATGCAGCTCTCACGGTGTGAATAAACACTTTGATTTTACTCCTTGCTGTTCTTTTAAGACTGCTTGGAGGATAGGGATTGACTAGGCCTTCTCCTATATTTGGATGAAACTTGAGATGCCATCGGGACTGTTCTGACACAGGACTCTGGGGGAACATAAAATCCTACAATCACTTTAAGTCATAAAAAGAGCCTTAAGTCAATTATTGAAAGTGCCCATTACATCCATCCGTTTTGCAATCTTTATTCAAAAGTAGGACTTCTGTACCCCCTGTTTGCTAACTGTGGCTTCTGGCCCCTCCATTCTTAGATGGAGGAGAGAAAATTGGGGGTAGAAAAGTTCTTATTTAGCAGGCTCAAAATATGGCTCCAAGCTGTCTGAACTATGCTTAAAAATAGCCTTTCTCTTATTGGCGCTTCCAGGATTCTTCAGAGGGACTCCTCTCCACTGATGTATTCTGGCTCTCCAATTCCCCTATTTGACATAGTCCTTGATTTTCTAGAAGTCCACTCCATGACCTCTGACATCAAGATGGTACCCCTCTTACACGTGATTGTATATTGTTCCAAGCCAGATCTCTCACCCCCTGCTTGACTCATCCTAGACCAAGGGAATACTCATCTATCCTTGGTCCCAACAAACTGCAGGACAAGGTCCAGCCAAATGCAGCAGAAACTGTCCTCACTTCACCTCCAGAGCCCTGCCCTGGGCCTTTATCTCCTGAAACTGCAGGAGGTCCCCCATGAAGTGTTCTGTGGGGCCCACTGATAGAACTTGCCTCAAAATAGAGAATGAGACATAGTTGGTTTGCCTTCTCAGCTTTTTAAGAGAAGGAAACATTTCCAATTTGAATTCTTAACTAAGAGATTTTAGTCTGTAATTCAATTTTCATGTTTATTCACATACTTTTCATTTTTGTCACAATTTTATCCATCTTTTTCTTACCTATGAGACATGACGAAACCATCCCTTTGGAATCATAATCATGGTCATAAATCCTGTATGGGGCCTTCCTCGGGTTTTACCACAAATTGGACTATACTGTGGTAAGGTGACACACACAATCACGACGGGCTCTATAGATCAAAATATGCAAGCGCTACCTGTTTACGTTTCTCCTTGGTATTCTTACTACATATACCCAAAGTAAATGAACTTGAGGTTTGTGAAGAGCCCATTTAATTATCTATTATTTTTGCTTATTCTAAAAAAAATKAACTATCTAAAAAACTTGTCATCTACAAAAAAACAGATAACAAAGAACATTTCAGACCTCACCTTTCTTATACTAAATATCGGTAATGCCCCAATCTAGAGAAAAGGGAGAGAAAAAATAAATAATTTCTAATATTTTCTGCTGATAGTAGTTAACTTCATAGTTCTGSATAAGAATCCAGTAATCTGAAGAGTTTTAAACACAAAGACCAAAGTCCACAGAAAAARAGTTTTGTTTCAGTTCTCTTCAAATTTAGAGCATCCTGGGAGAAAAAACAGAATTTCCTCAAGGCAAATAAATAACAGGCTGAGACCAAGAAACTATAAAGACAAAGGTATAAAAATGAAACTGATTGTCAGGTAAGACTGGTCAGATTGGCCAGCATTATTAAAATAGTCAGAGTGACCAGGGATTGCTATGGAAAAAAAMCCCAAAGGCAACAACTCCCTGGACAGGTTATAATCGAACCATCTTGAGGAACGAGCTTCCCAAGTGAAACATGCAAACCTGTCCAGAACTGAGAGATGGCCAAGCACCCAAAATTCATTTTTTGCTTCTTCTTAGTAACAGAATCCTGATTTTCCTGGGGAAGAGTATACAGCCCAAAGCAACATTTTCTAGCTTCTCTTGCAAGTTGGTACCTCTATGCGACCAATTCTGGTCAGTGGATGTATGTGGAGGTTGTTGGATCTAACTTATGAAAAAGTTCCTCACACTGGGACAAAGAGATGGGTGTGAACTTTTTTAGCCTTTCTGTCCATTCCTCCTTCCTGCTCTGCTGAACTTAGCTTTGAAGGCTGGACTCCTAGCAACCAGGTTAGAATACAAAGCAAGCTTGAAAGTGGGAGTCACAAGCTAAAGGCGACACCGCTGATGAATGGAAGGAAAGCTTGGGTTCCTGAGACCACAGTCATGCCAGCCCTACACGGTGCTTCCACATTTCTTTTATAGGAAAGAAAGAAAGGCTTATATATTGAGGCACCTGTTTTTATACACCATCAAGTCCTAAACAGTGATGCTAACACTTTCCTCGACTTACCAGATTTCAATAAATAACTCTTACTTTCACAGTGCCGCCTATCTGTCAGTGATTACAGCATGCCATTTGGAAATGTTAAAATATGGGGGAGGAGGGAAATGTGTGTCTTAGAAATAATGGAGCTGTATTTGGAGTTTTCCATTTGTCCAGTTGCTTTAGCTTACCTGAAATTCTGCCAGTAAAGTCATTGATTCTGGAGTCATATGGAAGTTAGAGATTTCCATACAGGGATCCAAATAGCCTTGACCAATGATGTGTGGTACATACCCAGCAAAGAGAAAAGCAACCTAACGCAAGTATTACAACCCACAGCTGTGTGGAATTCGAAGTAAAAGTGAGAGAACAGCTGTAGTAACATTGAGGTTAGAGTAACGACAAGGGTTAAGAATCTCTTGTTATATAACGGAGCTTATATAAACTCAAAAGGAGCCTGGAAATAATGGCAGGCTTCTGATTAAAAAAATAAATAAGTAAAGGGGGACTAAAAGGAAGAGGATGCCAAACAGAGCAAGGAGGACATGCCCCAGGCATTGGCCATCAGTAATGAGCTATATGGATGCCCTCATGCTAATTATTTCATAAACCCATGGTATTGTTTGGGCTTATTTCCACTGGTTCACTTTTTATAAATTTAAGTTCCTAGCTGAAGAAACTTTTATAAATGTGGTAAATCAGAAATACTCCATTCAGTCATACTAAGTGAAATAAGCCAGTCCCCCACAAAGCCAAAGCTTAAATGTTTTCGCTGATATGTGAAAGCTAGCCCATAATAAGGGGGGATAGGGGAAGCACAGATATTCAGTAGATTCGACAAAAGGGAATGAAAAGAAGTGAGAGTGGATAGGAAAAGGAAGTCAGTGGAATGAATCAGAAACAATGCTCCTCTGTGCCTACATGAATACCCCATAGTGAGTCCCACCATCATGTACATCCATAAGAATGGGGTACTAATTAGAATAAGATATATTCCATGCTTGTATAATTATATCAGAATGAATTCTACCATCATGTATAATTAAAAAGAATGAATAAAGATTGTTTCTTAAAAAATGCTCCATTCAACACCTAGAGTTCATTATAATCATACTATTCAAGGGCTATCCTAATACTAATCCTCAGTCAGAGTGAACCATATCACATATCAGCTTTCACATATCAGTAAAAACATTTGACCTTTGGCTTTTGGGGACTGGCTTATTTCACTTAGCATGACTGAATGGAGTCTTTCTGATTTACCACATTTATAACAACCATTATAATCTGTATGGGTAAATGAACAAAAATACTAAGTCCATAAAAAGAAATTAGAGGTAAGTAATGGAAGAGGGAAATGTGCTAGAGGCATTTGCTATATTATTATTCTTGGATACTTTCTGCTACATGAGAAAAAAAAAAATAGCAGATAGTTCATGAAGGCTAAGATTGAACCAGTTTGGACTTCTCCACTCTCTGGAATTATGTAACTCTGACCTTTGCCCAATGACTTTGCAGCACCCGCCACAACAGTGACCGAGCAGGGTCACACCACAGCCTGAGGTCAAGGAGGGCAGCAGCCCCCAGAATAGATCAGCTGACTATCAGCAGACCTGTAGCTTGAGTAGAGTAGCCTGCTGTGTTAGCCAGGGATTCTTCACGTGGTTTGCCACATTATCGTGATAACACAGGGTCTGATGCAGTACTCAATAAGTGCCCACTATTGGGTATTTCTAAAAGTTTAATGATGAAAATCAAAGTATATAACCCAATATATGATACATTGAAATATTTTTGGTTAGTCCTGGTAGCATCTTTAACGTCTAAAAATTATAGGATATTATAGGATATTCAACTGGTATATGTAACAAATGCCTCAGTATAAGATATATGGACTGACAGGTTTGTGCCTTATTAAAATAAAGGTATCCAAGATAATATAAATGTAATCATGGCTTTCCATATCCTATCTTCTACATTCAACCATAGCTTCGGATAAGTTGCAATTTTCTTTTTGTCTTTTGATTCTCTTCACTGTCCTGTTTCCTCTGTTCTCATGGTTGAGGAAAATGGTCAAGACATGGAGAGAATAGAATACCCCAACCCGGGCATGGTGGCATATGCCTGTAATCCCAGTCTCTCAAGAGGCTGAGGCAGGAGGATCACAAGTTTAAAGCCAGTCTCAGCAACTTATCGAGGCCCTGTGCAACTTAGTGAGATCCTATCTCAAAATTTTAAAAAGGGTGATAGTCTGGGGACATGGCTCAATGGTAAGCACTTTTGGGTTCAATCCCCAGTACCAAAAGAAAAAAGCCCAGACGATCCACCTACACAATCAAAGGTCATTAAACTACCCTATTTTAATATAATTTTGTATATGGAATGTTAAATAATATACAACCTATGTTTTAAAATGCCAAAGACCACTTATTAAGATAGAGAATAAAAAGCTGATAAAAATAGATTCTGTTTATTGAAATGAACAATGATAAATCTTTGTAGTGTTTATTTGCTAAATGCTTTTTTTTTAAATCACCAGTTTCCTAGCTCTCTCCCGCCATAATATCAGATACATGGTAGTCACTCAAAAAAGATATGTATTAAATGAATAATGTAAGACACAGTATATGGTTTCAAAGATGTTTACTATTTGGTCAAACAATAAATTTTTAAGTTGTCAATCATACAGTAAAATATACAATGGCATACATATTCACCAAATTTGCATTATTGCTATGTAAAAACAGGTTATGATCTGTAGAAAAATGCAATTCCTGAGATTATTGGCTTTTATCAATCATTTTCCTGACAACTTGTCTTTCCTTAAGTGACTTGGGAGTGTGAATTGTGGTTAGGATGTTCAATTTTAGACTAAATTTTTATTATCTGTTAAATGAGCAAACAGACTCTCTTTTTCATAAAAGACAGAGAAAAGACCCATGGTGTGCTACCTTTTTCCCCAATGTATACCATATGGAAAAACACAGACTGAACATAAAAGAAGTCTTTTCTAAATGACTCTCAATCACCCATGAGGAATGTATGTTTTCTAGTTAATCAGTCCTTGATGTACAGCAGTCCAGCTGTTGTTGTGCATTTATTAAAATATTCTCTGCTAAATAATTATGTTCATCTTTTAAAGTAAATGGCTTAAAATTCCATTCAATTTCTTTCTGCAAAAGAGCACATCCTCACCGTCATAACACAAAGGCATGATACAYTGACAGAGTTGCCACGAGCTTTATATACTCTTCTGTCATTTCTAAGAGGGGCAACCACAACATAAGTCATTTAAAAAAAAAAAAAAAGCTCTGGCCTATGATGGAGTTCATTAGAGTTTATACTTAAAGATAAACCTCTAAGACCAAACATGATAGGGCTAGCAAGCCACTGTTGAGTTCCTGGTTTCTGTTTTGAAATGGTTTTCAAAACAATCCTACAAGTTTCTAACTGAAGCATAAAACAGCACAAATGCTCCAAGCAATCTTTCTTTCTTGGGTTCATTAAGGCCTTGGAATCATGTGTTTTATGTGTTTTGATTCTCTCACACATTTCGAGGTACCTTGCTCTTGAAAGCACTAGAACAAACTAATTGAAAGGAAACCACTCTGCAACTTTGATCCTACCAAATTTTAAAGCCTTACATGACCCATCTTGTAAGTCTGTCTCAGGGATTAATGTGTCTACGTGATTATAGAATGCATGAGTCTTGCCTCATGATGATTTTCTAATATGCATAAAATATTGAAAAATAGGTATTTACCAAAATCCCCACAGACCAAACCTTTCAGACTGGAACCCCAAAACTCTTGAAGTCTTTTAACAACAAACAGTGGCCTATTTCACATACTTAGAACCAATAATTAGTATTCTTGACCTACAATTGAAAACAGAATGATCTGTATAACTAAACAGGATAAATGTAAAAATCCCTTTGGAGATGTTTTTTTTTTTATTTATGCAATGCCTTCATTAATGACACATCATCCTCCATTTCTTATTACTCCAATTCGATTTCTCCTGCAAACAAGGTAATCAGCAGAATAGCTGTGAATCCAGTTAACATTCCGGCATTCTGAATCATGAAAAAGGTGAAATCGGTTTTTCTTCCAGTTACCTTTTCTCTCAGCATATCATTCATCTCTGGAAACTAGAAAGAAGAAATATTGTTAGACAACGTTTGCCATCTAGTGGTCAAACATAAAATAATCACTTCCAGATTTCTGCGGGGAGGAAGATCATTTATTTCCCGATGATTAAACATTTTAGTACAGAGTGTATAATTGGAACATCTAGCGCTTTCAGGCATTAAAAGTGTTCAGTGGTGTTGTTCCCCAAGTGAGTCAATCAGCAGGATGTGACCTACCTCGTTTTGTGCATTCTCTCTTTCTTAGGATCTCAAAGGCATTCTTCAAAATCCATGTACTTGCTATAACCCTGACCTGAACGTTTCCAATTTTTCAAAGGACTACACACTTCAGATTTCACCTTAATTCCTACCTTCCTGAAACACTTCCCTCAGCCTTTCCTGATTTATACTAGATTCCCTTTTATCTTCTCCTGTCATATATACTGCTTTTCCTTTTATTTCATAGCATTTTAAAATTATTTATAATTATTCATGATTTGTTTGTTTGTTCGATTTCTAGTTTCTCTTCTTCTAGATTAAAAAGTCCCACAGATGCAGCAACTGTCCCTATTTTGCTCACTCCAGGGTCCCTAATGCCTCACAGACTTCCAAGCTTGGCCCAAGAACATATCAATAGTAGCTGACTGAATAATTTTTTTTWAAAAAATCCTATAAATTTAACTCCTTATTTCTTCAATTTGTTTACTTTTGCTTGCTATAACCTCACAAAATTATAAGGGTTTTAAAGAAACTATGCATTATTCTAGGATTAAAGACTACAACAATCTCGTTGCAGTATAAAAACAATTAAAATCCCAAGTATTTTACTTAAAAATCTACTCTTTCTCAGCAATAACATCTACAGAAAAGTCTACATAAGGAGTCTTGTAAATGTCAACTTTTCAAAACACATTCCAAAATGATTTGCTATATATGCTGTGGTGCATTGTACCAAAGCATCCGAGAGGTCTCCAGAGTCTACAGTTAATCTGTGGGCTTGACTTAAAAAAGTTCTTTCTGGGAACGTGTACCATGGTACATAACTGAAATTCTAACAGTTCGGGAGGCTGAGGCAGGAGGATCACAAGTTCAAAGATAGCCTCAGCAAAATACAAAATAGGAGTGAGGATTTGGCTCAGTGATCGAGCGCCCCAGAGTTCAATCCCTGGTACCCCATCCCCCAAAGAAAAGATTCTTGCTAGAAAAAAATAATGATAAGATGTGAGACCACTGGCCAAAAGGCAAAAATGATGAAAGTACATATGGCATCATTTACCAGTACACTTTTTTTTAAGAGAGAGAAAGAGAAGTTTTTAATATTTATTTTTTAGTTTTTGGTGGACACAACATCTTTATTTTATTTTTATGTGGTGCTGAGGATCGAACCCAGCACCCCGTCCATGCCAGGTGAGTGCGTTACCGCTTGAGCCACATCCCCAGCCCAACTAGTACACTTTTTAAGCAACTCTAATAGATTCTGTTCTWATACCAGAGAAAGATGTGACCACCTAGAATAAAATAGTATGAAACATTAATTTTGCAAAGAAAAATGCAAATGCAGTGGGTTGATCTAAGAGATAAAAATCCTTGCTCTTAACAGGGTCTGCAGAGAACAATGAACAAGAGCTAGATGGTTTTAATTATGGAGCTAAGAATATAGATGAAGAAATGAAAATATTAAATTATATGTAATATATTCAGTTCCAAACACAAAAGAAATATACCTTGATTTTTATATCCTAGCACATTTTTATTTTCTAGAAAGCTGTCCATGACTCACTCAAAAATGTACAGGTTATTTTCTCTCTTAAACATACACAAATGGGCTAGAGTTGTGGTTCAGCGGTAGAGCGCTCACCTAGTACATGTGAGGCCCTGAGTTCGATCCTCAGCACCACATAAAAATAAATAAATAAAATAAAGGTATTGTGTCCAACTACAACTAAAAAATAAATATTTTAAAAAACATACACACATAAAGACACACTCAAGTTGGCATACACACACACATACAGATAAAGCAAGACACAAACACCCATAGACATAGATACAAATACACATTGACACAAATAAATACTATCAAATTTAATTTTACCAACTTCCATGTAGTAATTTTAGTTCAACCCAAAAAAACTTTCACTGTTTAGTGTCATTTCTTTTATCAAGTTATTCTTCTTCCAAATGTGACATCCTCATAAAAGAGGAGGAAAATGTTTCATGCTTTAGAAGACAGTTTTTAATCTACCACAAGGCAAAGAAGACTTGCAAAAATAATCCTACTTCAGCAAAAACAAATCATTTCACCCTCTATCAATAAGATCACAGATAAAAGAATCAATGAGAACCAGTTTCAAGTTACTATTAGTGCAAGCTACTCAAGAAGTGAGATGTGTTCAAACAGGAATGTTTAAAGGTACAACAGGCCTTTCACACTGAGAAAAGCAGAAAGTTGCTCTTAGTCAGCTCAYCTGTGAATTTTAAATTACAACAAAATAAAATGTTAAATTTCTTACCATATCTGCCAGAGAAATGTAGAGAAACATGCCTCCAGCAAGTGCAAATATAATATTTGGAGCAAAGTTGTTGCCAACCAAAATGCCAAAAGCCAGCCCAAGGTAGCAGGAACAGGCAGAAAGGAAGTTGAACAGCAAGGCCTGTCGAGTGCTCATCCCTGCATTGAGCAGGATCACAAAGTCCCCTGGAAGAAGAAAAAACAAGTGAATTGTTTTTTTTTTCTTTTCTTTTTTCTTTTCTTTTCTTTTTTCTTTTTGTATCAGGGATTGAACCCAGGGTCACTTAACCACTGAACCACACCCCCAGCCTATTTTATTTTTTTATTTAGAGACAGGGTCTCACTGAGTTGCTTGGAGTCTCACTGAGTTGCTGAGGCTGGCTTTGAACATGAGATCCTCCTGCCTCAGCCTCCTAAACCCCTTGGATTACAGGCATACCCCTTAGCACCTACCTAAATTACTTTYTTCTACTTGGGGATGAGATCAAAGATAATCATCAATTGTATATCATCTCCTGAGAAGTGTCTGTTCAGTTCTTTAGCCCATTTATTGATTGGGTTATTTGGTTTTTTTGGTGTTAAGTTTTTTGAGTTATTTATATATCCTAGAAATTAGTGCTCTGATGTGTGTGTGGTAAAAATTTTCTCCCATTCTGTAGGCTCTCGCTTCACCTCACTAATTATTTCCTTTTGCTAAGAAGCTTTTCAGTTTGAATCTATCCCATTCGTTGATTCCTGATTTTATTTTTTGTGCTATAGGAGTCTTGTTAAGGAAGTTGGGGCCTAACAATCAATCCACAAATATATGAAAAAGTGTTTAACATCTCTAGCAATTGGAGAAATGCAAATCAAAACTACTTTAAGATTTCATTTCACCCCAGTCAGAATGGCAGCTATTAAGAATACAAACAACAATAAGTGTCAGCAAGGATGTGGGGGAAAAGGCACACTCATACACTGCTGGTGGGAGTGCAAATTGGTGCAACCAACCTGGAAAGCAGTATGGAGATTTCTTGGAAAACTTGGAATGGAACCACCATTTGACCCAGATATCTCTCCTTGGTTTATACCCAAAGGAATTAAAAAACAGCATACTACAGGGACACAGCCACATCAATGTTTATAGCAGCACAATTTACAATAGATAAATTGTGGAATGCCCTTCAATAGATGAATGGATAAAGAAACTGTGGTATATATACACAATGGAATATTACTTAGCAATAAAAGAAAATAAAATCATGGCATTTTCAGGTAAATAGATGGAGTTGGAGAATATCATACTAAGTGAAATAAGCCAATCCCAAAAAATCCAAAGGCCAAATGTTTTCTCTGATATGTGGATGCTGATCCATAATGAGTGTGGGGAGGGRGCATGGGAGAAATGGAGGAACTTTGCCCCTTTGGATAGGGCAAAGGGAAAGGGAGTGGGTATGGGGRTCAGAAAGATGGTGGAATGAGATGGACATCATTACCCTAAGTATATGTATGAAGACATGAATGGTGTGATTCTACTTTGTGAACAACCAAAGACATGAAAAATTGTGCTCTATATGTGTACAATGAATTGAAATCCATTCTGCTGTCCTATATAACAAATTAGGACAAATAAATAAATTATTTTTTAAAAGATCATCATTAATGTCTGACAAGGGCTCCTTCATTTTGGTACATCAGCAGGATTTAAAGAATGTATTATCTGAAATGTCTCACTGCATAAACCACCCTTTACTTTAAGAGTGAGGCCCTCACCTAACTCATGAGGAAACTCCTCGCACAGGATTGCGATTGAAGTGCTGATGCCCTGGAGAAGAGACAAGGTGCAGGAAGCCCCAATCGCCAGGCCATCGATGAAATTGTGGAGGGCATCGCTGAGCGTTATCATCCAGGCAATCGTCCCTATTTCTGACAGTTTGGGCCCCTTCAAACAGGTACATGAACTTGACTCCCTTTTTCCATCCTGTAAAATAGTAGAAAAATCGATCAACCTGATAACCAACATTTCTTAAACTTCTAAGAGGGTACAAAGAAATAGAAGATGAGTTAGGTGATGTCTCGGGAGAGACAAATTGTTCAACTGAAAGCCCTGCACAGGGATGGGAAACCTTAATAATATCTAACAGAGAAAAATAAAACTTACAGTAGGGAGGAAGAAAATAAATCAATTGATACATCTTGAGCAAGCCACTTACAGACATTTTACATTAGTTTCCCCCTAAATCAATCCCTCTGGCTTCCATGAGCAAACTTACAACTTACTTCCTGCGATGTAGCAGATATTAACCTAAGCATTTGATTTATGCATGTTTTAAATTAAGAAATTTGCTCAAAGACCACATTTAAAAACTTCTCCATGTTGCGACTTGAATGTGAAATCCTTAATTAAACATGATGACATCAAGGAATATTTAGTACAGTTCCTTCTGTAATTATCAGAGTCAGTTTCTTTCACTGTGAAATTACATGAATGCACTAAATGATACACTTATTTTTCAACAACTTTTTGAGTTTCCACTCCATTCCAGGTACTATGCCTCGTGTTTAGGCTATAAAAGTGTGGTCCCTACCAGCTCTAAATTTAGATTATTCTCTTAACAAATTTCATGAATTGTTTGTTATTAGAGCAGGATTGCCTTTGCTCTAGCATGTCTTCCCATTTTGAGATAATAATAAAAATAGAAAATCCCATGACAAACCCTTGGTGGGAATTTAGAGTTCATAAAATTTGCAAAATGGTACAAAATCAAATGATAAATGCCAACTAAAGCATTGTACAGAAGTTGCAGGAAAATGCAAATTCATTTTCAAGCAGGAAAGCAATTTGTAATTAACTGGAGAACATTTTATTTCTAACTCTACTCCCCCCACCTCAACATAAGCAGTTAATCACCACATTTATTATTGAGCATCTGCAATTTGTAAAACACTGTGCTGAATGCTATGGGAAAGATATGGAAGTAAAAAACAGCTTCTGTCTTCATGAAGCATATCTGCATTGAATAACCAAGACGTAGAGTATATGGCTGACTTTCTTCCTAATGCACGACATGTATTCAACAGAGAGGGGCTTCTTTTAGAGCAATCATCTAAGAGGTTCTGCATTTACTCCAACATCACTTCATTGCTCAGTACACTATGGGGACCAACACTTTCAGAAGTGACTTTAGATCTTACATCTTTTCACTGTTCACTGGAGGCAAATCTGCATCTTTGTGGGATGTGGTTTGTTTTCAGACACCACCAAAAGTCACTTGGAGCAAATAAAGTCTTAGATGAATATAGAAGGACTGGGAACACAGCTGTCGTCCTCATTGTCATCGGGGTCAATGTTGTAGTGGAATTTGGAACAGTAAAGGCAGATAGCATCCATTATGTGCTAGGTGCCATTTTAAGCACCTCCATTCATTTAAACCAATTCTTTCAGGTAAGTACCACTGTTACTATCATTTTAGAGTGAAAAAATTAAAACACAGAAAGATTAGTGAATTTACCCACTGATAAAAAGGGAGTAAGTGGATTTTTTTTTTTTTTTTTTTTTTTTGGTAACAGTGTATTACCACTCCAAACTTATAAAGGGACAGAGGGTTCTTGTTTGTAATAGGATCTGAAGACAGTTCATGGGGAAAACTGCTCTTCCTGTCAAAAAGCTCTTCTAAACATTTGAAGCAACACTGAAATACAGTTTATAATCTCCTTGACTTTAAAAAGCCAAACTCTTGTGTATGAAAAGAATTTCATTTTGTCTTTCCATGTGTTTTTTTTTTTCACTCTATAGCTAATCTTCAATGCAAACATAATGAACAATCATGATTGAGTCCATGTCCAGTGGGCGGCTTGGGTTTAAAAAAAAAAAAAATGTCCTGGAGCAGGAAGCAATGACCACAGAAGAAGTTGTGAAAAGCCTTAGGGAAAGTGACCCAGGCTTTGTAAAAACTTCCTAGCCAGATACACTTAATAAGACTGCTGTGAATTAAAACGATTATTTTCACCTTCCAACTTGGCTTACCTAATCATACATTTATAATATCCTTATTTACTGGTGATGATTTAGGGAAAAGTCTAGCAGACCAAGTCATAGCTACCCGATATTACTCACACAGTGGGATACAAACACCTTTAATACAAAAAAGAAATTAAATTAATACATCAGGCATGATTTTCTTACCTCTAAATACAGATTGGACTGACTTTATTTATTTGCCTCATATCAGCTGTATGAGTTTAGGTCCCAAATGATACCACCGAGGTTATAAGTCTTACATTTTTAATAAGTTTGGAACACACCAAAATAGGCAAACATTTACAAAAAGTTCATTTGTAACTCACCTGGAGCTAAATCACTGAGCAGAAAGAACACTAAATTCAGGTTTCTCTAATTAAATGAGTGAGGGCTCATCTCTTTCCTTTCTTTATTTTAGCTAGCTCCTGTGGCTGCTGTTTGCTTCCTTATTTGATTTTACTCTAAATATGAGGCTATTTCTATCCCCAGCCATGATGAGGCAGTTCAATCTAGTGAAAAGACGGTTAAGTCTGACATCCAAAATTGAGTTTCTAGGGTGGCTCTGACAAGAATTACTGCACCATCTCCAGCAGGGCTCTCAACACATCTCACTCACCTTAGTTATTAATGGAAACAAAAATCAAAGCACAGTGCAGTGGAATTGGAATAGGGAGAGGAAGCATATTGTGACCAAAGGTTTAAATAAAAAAAAAAAAAGAGGCACTAAGTAGAATCCAACATCAACTGGAGAGGAGGAAGCAAATTAAAAAAAAAAATAAGAAGAAGAAGAAGAAGAATTTAAAATGGAGAAAGCAGGTGGGCTCATTGTGGAAGAGTTTAAGCAAGATGGAGGAAGTTGAGAGGGGAGGAGTAAAGGAAAGGGAGGAGTGGCCTGAGGAGAGGAGGAGGGACAGAGGGAAATGAGGAGGAGGAGGAAAGGATGTGGAGGAGGAAGAAGGGAAGACAAGAACAAGGAGGAGGAGATGAGCAAGGATGAGTAAGAGCAGAAGCAGGAAGAGAAAGAGAAGGGACAGGAAGACAGAGAAGGACAAAGACAGGGAGCACAAAACGGAGGTGATGAAGAAGAAAGGAAGGAGAGTAATAGGAGGAGGAAGATGAGAAAAGAAAAAGAAACTCTTGGCTAGGTAAGTCAGACACTGATCATAGAAATACAGCAAACCCCTATCAGGAAATACTCTGAAGATGGGGAATAGCTATTTTTTCCACCTGTCCAAAACAAAATATTCAGATTTTTTTAAAGTATAATAAAACCACCTACTTGCTAGATACCTATTTATAAAAATAATGTAATTTTTATTTAAAAATAATGTAATCATGTAATGATATTCTAAGTGCAAATATGTTTGGCCACAATTCTTTTTTTCTTATTTCAGTGCTGGGAATCAAACCCAGGATCTCAGTCATGCCAGTCCAGTGCTTTACCATGGAGCTATATCCCCAGCAGGGGTGGAAATATATTTGGAAGAATATATACAAAAATTTTTGTCCTGGTTCTACTTGAGAAGAACATCATGAATGATCTTAGTGATTTTATCCTTTTGTTTCTTTATGGGTGTTCTGGCCATTTTTTCATATTCATGAATTTTAGTACTCAGAAAATAAAGCAAACCTGGGCTGGGGGTGGGGTATGGGGTGAGAAACACCAGGCAGGTGGGAACTGTGAATCTGCAGACTCTGACATTACCATCAGCTAACCATGTGGAGCTGGTGAGCAGGCTGCCTGCAAGGTATGGCACGGACTGGAGACAGGGTAGAGTGTTCCACTGAGGTGAATCATTTTTTGTCTGTTTAATGGCTCAAGAGATTAGCATGGGCACAGTCAAACCTCATTCTGCACTGGGGGAGGCAACAGAGCCAAGAGGAATGGGCAGGTTTGAATTGCTTATTGTCTCCATGCTTTATTGGTAAAGAAGCAAAATCAAACAACCATCAAGATGAATAGTTAAACTCATATTCCACTTCCCATGGTGAAATTCTTTTTTTCAGAGGAAGAGTTCTGATAAAAAGAAAATCAAGCCAAAAAGGAAAGTAGCAACCCACCAAAAATATACAGTGATGGCAAAATGAAATATAGATGACAACCAACAAAAGATGCAAGCTGTATGTAAAGAAACACACAAAATCCATCCCTAGGAAGGAGAAAACACAGTAGTACAAGTGGGAATAACAAAATGCAGCTTTAAAAGACTTCAAGTAAAGTCGGGTGAGATTTAAGAAAAGCAACCTAGAATGCAAGCCAGTTTATTGATTAGTAGGCATGAGCCTTGCCATTAAGCCAACTTGCATTTGAGGCCTAGCTCTGCACCCTTGGGAAAGAGATTTTCTTCTCTGAGATTCAGATTCCTTATCTACAGAATAGTGAGAATAATACTTCCAACTTAATGGTCCAACTTAATGGGACTGTTGTGATTAAGTGAGATGGTGTTTATCAACTAGTGAGTGCTCCCGAATGATTATTATTAGGTTCCAGAGCTGCATAGATGAACGTGGCTGGATGACAAGGCAGGAAAACTAAGATTGCCCAAGAATGTATAAAATAAAATATTTACTGCTTAAAGATATTCAGGAGCTTATTAACCAAAATCATTGAGAAAAAAGAAAAGAAAGAAAAATTAGATATACAAAGAAAGTTTTACAAAAGTGAGTGGGTGCAGAGACTCATTGAAAGGAAAAGAGAAAAAAGTTTAACAAGGATGCTTGAGCTTGGGCATAATTATGCTCTTGAAGGAACCTCACTACTAAAGGTATATGAAAGAGTCAGGAGATTAATTAGGCAGAAAGTCAAACTCCCTGTGAAAAGTACAAAGTCTGAGTTAATAAGTTTATATGAATTGACAGCTGACTGTTACAGGAGGTATGGACTCAGAAACATGTAAAGTGATAATATCTTACAGATACACAGCACTTCACAGCTTATGAAACACTTCCAACTGCTCACT